TGTTTTTGAGACGCCTTTTGAGAATTCTCTTTTGATTTCCATGAGGTTGTTTTTGAGACGCCTTTTGAGAATTCTCTTTTGATTTCCATGAGGTTGTTTTTGAGACGTCTTTTGAGAATTCTCTTTTGATTTCCATGAGGTTGTTTTTGAGACGTCTTTTGAGAATTCTCTTTTGATTTCCATGAGGTTGTTTTTGAGACGTCTTTTGAGAATTCTCTTTTGATTTCCATGAGGTTGTTTTTGAGACGTCTTTTGAGAATTCTCTTTTGATTTCCATGAGGTTGTTTTTGAGACGTCTTTTGAGAATTCTCTTTTGATTTCCATGAGGTTGTTTTTGAGACGTCTTTTGAGAATTCTCTTTTGATTTCCATGAGGTTGTTTTTGAGACGTCTTTTGAGAATTCTCTTTTGATTTCCATGAGGTTGTTTTTGAGACGTCTTTTGAGAATTCTCTTTTGATTTCCATGAGGTTGTTTTTGAGACGTCTTTTGAGAATTCTCTTTTGATTTCCATGAGGTTGTTTTTGAGACGTCTTTTGAGAATTCTCTTTTGATTTCCATGAGGTTGTTTTTGAGACGTCTTTTGAGAATTCTCTTTTGATTTCCATGAGGTTGTTTTTGAGACGTCTTTTGAGAATTCTCTTTTGATTTCCATGAGGTTGTTTTTGAGACGTCTTTTGAGAATTCTCTTTTGATTTCCATGAGGTTGTTTTTGAGACGTCTTTTGAGAATTCTCTTCTGATTTCCATGAGGTTGTTTTTGAGACGTCTTTTGAGAATTCTCTTTTGATTTCCATGAGGTTGTTTTTGAGACGTCTTTTGAGAATTCTCTTTTGATTTCCATGAGGTTGTTTTTGAGACGTCTTTTGAGAATTCTCTTTTGATTTCCATGAGGTTGTTTTTGAGACGTCTTTTGAGAATTCTCTTTTGATTTCCATGAGGTTGTTTTTGAGACGCCTTTTGAGAATTCTCTTTTGATTTCCATGAGGTTGTTTTTGAGACGCCTTTTGAGAATTCTCTTTTGATTTCCATGAGGTTGTTTTTGAGACGTCTTTTGAGAATTCTCTTTTGATTTCCATGAGGTTGTTTTTGAGACGTCTTTTGAGAATTCTCTTTTGATTTCCATGAGGTTGTTTTTGAGACGTCTTTTGAGAATTCTCTTTTGATTTCCATGAGGTTGTTTTTGAGACGTCTTTTGAGAATTCTCTTTTGATTTCCATGAGGTTGTTTTTGAGACGTCTTTTGAGAATTCTCTTTTGATTTCCATGAGGTTGTTTTTGAGACGTCTTTTGAGAATTCTCTTTTGATTTCCATGAGGTTGTTTTTGAGACGTCTTTTGAGAATTCTCTTTTGATTTCCATGAGGTTGTTTTTGAGACGTCTTTTGAGAATTCTCTTTTGATTTCCATGAGGTTGTTTTTGAGACGTCTTTTGAGAATTCTCTTTTGATTTCCATGAGGTTGTTTTTGAGACGTCTTTTGAGAATTCTCTTTTGATTTCCATGAGGTTGTTTTTGAGACGTCTTTTGAGAATTCTCTTTTGATTTCCATGAGGTTGTTTTTGAGACGTCTTTTGAGAATTCTCTTTTGATTTCCATGAGGTTGTTTTTGAGACGTCTTTTGAGAATTCTCTTTTGATTTCCATGAGGTTGTTTTTGAGACGCCTTTTGAGAATTCTCTTTTGATTTCCATGAGGTTGTTTTTGAGACGTCTTTTGAGAATTCTCTTTTGATTTCCATGAGGTTGTTTTTGAGACGTCTTTTGAGAATTCTCTTTTGATTTCCATGAGGTTGTTTTTGAGACGTCTTTTGAGAATTCTCTTTTGATTTCCATGAGGTTGTTTTTGAGACGTCTTTTGAGAATTCTCTTTTGATTTCCATGAGGTTGTTTTTGAGACGTCTTTTGAGAATTCTCTTTTGATTTCCATGAGGTTGTTTTTGAGACGTCTTTTGAGAATTCTCTTTTGATTTCCATGAGGTTGTTTTTGAGACGTCTTTTGAGAATTCTCTTTTGATTTCCATGAGGTTGTTTTTGAGACGTCTTTTGAGAATTCTCTTTTGATTTCCATGAGGTTGTTTTTGAGACGTCTTTTGAGAATTCTCTTTTGATTTCCATGAGGTTGTTTTTGAGACGCCTTTTGAGAATTCTCTTTTGATTTCCATGAGGTTGTTTTTGAGACGTCTTTTGAGAATTCTCTTTTGATTTCCATGAGGTTGTTTTTGAGACGTCTTTTGAGAATTCTCTTTTGATTTCCATGAGGTTGTTTTTGAGACGTCTTTTGAGAATTCTCTTTTGATTTCCATGAGGTTGTTTTTGAGACGTCTTTTGAGAATTCTCTTTTGATTTCCATGAGGTTGTTTTTGAGACGTCTTTTGAGAATTCTCTTTTGATTTCCATGAGGTCGTTTTTGAGACGTCTTTTGAGAATTCTCTTTTGATTTCCATGAGGTCGTTTTTGAGACGTCTTTTGAGAATTCTCTTTTGATTTCCATGAGGTCGTTTTTGAGACGTCTTTTGAGAATTCTCTTTTGATTTCCATGAGGTTGTTTTTGAGACGTCTTTTGAGAATTCTCTTTTGATTTCCATGAGGTTGTTTTTGAGACGTCTTTTGAGAATTCTCTTTTGATTTCCATGAGGTTGTTTTTGAGACGTCTTTTGAGAATTCTCTTTTGATTTCCATGAGGTTGTTTTTGAGACGTCTTTTGAGAATTCTCTTTTGATTTCCATGAGGTTGTTTTTGAGACGTCTTTTGAGAATTCTCTTTTGATTTCCATGAGGTTGTTTTTGAGACGTCTTTTGAGAATTCTCTTTTGATTTCCATGAGGTTGTTTTTGAGACGTCTTTTGAGAATTCTCTTTTGATTTCCATGAGGTTGTTTTTGAGACGTCTTTTGAGAATTCTCTTTTGATTTCCATGAGGTTGTTTTTGAGACGTCTTTTGAGAATTCTCTTTTGATTTCCATGAGGTTGTTTTTGAGACGTCTTTTGAGAATTCTCTTTTGATTTCCATGAGGTTGTTTTTGAGACGTCTTTTGAGAATTCTCTTCTGATTTCCATGAGGTTGTTTTTGAGACGTCTTTTGAGAATTCTCTTCTGATTTCCATGAGGTTGTTTTTGAGACGTCTTTTGAGAATTCTCTTTTGATTTCCATGAGGTTGTTTTTGAGACGTCTTTTGAGAATTCTCTTTTGATTTCCATGAGGTTGTTTTTGAGACGTCTTTTGAGAATTCTCTTTTGATTTCCATGAGGTTGTTTTTGAGACGTCTTTTGAGAATTCTCTTTTGATTTCCATGAGGTTGTTTTTGAGACGTCTTTTGAGAATTCTCTTTTGATTTCCATGAGGTTGTTTTTGAGACGTCTTTTGAGAATTCTCTTTTGATTTCCATGAGGTTGTTTTTGAGACGTCTTTTGAGAATTCTCTTTTGATTTCCATGAGGTTGTTTTTGAGACGTCTTTTGAGAATTCTCTTTTGATTTCCATGAGGTTGTTTTTGAGACGTCTTTTGAGAATTCTCTTTTGATTTCCATGAGGTTGTTTTTGAGACGTCTTTTGAGAATTCTCTTTTGATTTCCATGAGGTTGTTTTTGAGACGTCTTTTGAGAATTCTCTTTTGATTTCCATGAGGTTGTTTTTGAGACGTCTTTTGAGAATTCTCTTTTGATTTCCATGAGGTTGTTTTTGAGACGTCTTTTGAGAATTCTCTTTTGATTTCCATGAGGTCGTTTTTGAGACGTCTTTTGAGAATTCTCTTTTGATTTCCATGAGGTTGTTTTTGAGACGTCTTTTGAGAATTCTCTTTTGATTTCCATGAGGTTGTTTTTGAGACGTCTTTTGAGAATTCTCTTTTGATTTCCATGAGGTTGTTTTTGAGACGTCTTTTGAGAATTCTCTTTTGATTTCCATGAGGTTGTTTTTGAGACGTCTTTTGAGAATTCTCTTTTGATTTCCATGAGGTTGTTTTTGAGACGTCTTTTGAGAATTCTCTTTTGATTTCCATGAGGTTGTTTTTGAGACGTCTTTTGAGAATTCTCTTTTGATTTCCATGAGGTTGTTTTTGAGACGTCTTTTGAGAATTCTCTTTTGATTTCCATGAGGTTGTTTTTGAGACGTCTTTTGAGAATTCTCTTTTGATTTCCATGAGGTTGTTTTTGAGACGTCTTTTGAGAATTCTCTTTTGATTTCCATGAGGTTGTTTTTGAGACGTCTTTTGAGAATTCTCTTTTGATTTCCATGAGGTTGTTTTTGAGACGTCTTTTGAGAATTCTCTTTTGATTTCCATGAGGTTGTTTTTGAGACGTCTCAAAAACAACCTCATCACACGAGAATAAGGGGTGGGAGCTTCTCAGTGTCCGTCAAATCGGCTGACACGAGGGAATAACCATTTGAAGAGCGCAGACCGACAATCCGATTTCCAGTGGTTTGTATGCACTTAGAACGACGAAGGTGACTTTTGAGGCGCCTCAAAAGTCGCCAGTGGTTTGTATGTATGTATGGTCGTTCCGAGTCCATTTGCGAGCTTGACAAAGGTATAGACAAGCTCGCAAAACTCAGGGGAGCGTTGGAAGACAGACGCACCAACGCTGTGCTCAGCATTTTGAGAATTATCAAAAGCAACTCAGGGGAGGGTTGGAAGACAGACGCACCAACGCTGTGCTCAGCATTTTGAGAATTCTCAGAAGCAACTCAGGGGAGCGTTGGAAGACAGACGCACCAACGCTGTGCTCAGCATTTTGATAATTCTCAAAAGCAACTCAGGGGAGCGTTGGAAGACAAACGCACCAACGCTGTGCTCAGCATTTTGAGAATTCTCAAAAGCAACTCAGGGGAGCGTTGGAAGACAGACGCACCAACGCTGTGCTCAGCATTTTGAGAATTCTCAAAAGCAACTCAGGGGAGCGTTGGAAGACAGACGCACCAACGCTGTGCTCAGCATTTTGAGAATTCTCAAAAGCAACTCAGGGGAGCGTTGGAAGACAGACGAACCAACGCTGTGCTCAGCATACTTACCTAGAGGAGTGACGTCTGAGCCGAGGCACGCTGCGAGCTCTGGCTTGGCGTTGATGATGGCGGTTTTCTTTGCTACCACCTGGCATAGCGTGGAACAAGAGCAGTGATGGGCGGTGAGAGAAGCGGTGGGGAGGGTGGATGGGAATGGCATGGCAGCATGGTTTGGGGTGTGTGTGTGCGTGTGTGCGTGTGTGCGTGTGTGTGTGTGTGTGTGTGTGTGTGTGTGTGCGTGCGTGTGTGTGTGTGTGTGTGTGTGTGCGTGCGTGTGTGTGTGTGTGCGTGCGTGTGTGTGTGTGTGTGTGCGTGTGTGTGTGTGTGTGTGTGCGTGTGTGTGTGTGCGTGTGTGTGTGTGCGTGTGTGTGCGTGTGTGCGTGTGTGTGTGCGTGTGTGTGTGTGTGTGTGTGTGAGTGTGTGTGTGTGTGTGTGTGTGTCAGCCCAGGCACGCTGCCAGCTCTGGCTTGGCGTTCATGATGGCAGCTTTCTTTGCTACCTGGTGGAGTGGGTTGAGCGCGGTGGTGTGCGGTGAGAGGGGGGGAGGGGGGGGGGGTGGCATGGTGGGATGGTCGCATGATGGTAAGAGGCATGTGCATTTTAAATAAACTGGTGAGACCTCTTTAACAGTGTCCCCTCTTCTAAGTGCTCGCCTCTTTTTGGACCACTTCCGTTAGTTTATGCGGGGCTCTGCCCTCGGCCCCTTTCAAGTGACAACCTCTTGAAAATCCACCTCAACAAAGCAAAAGGGAGCTCTGCCCTGCCCAGTTCAAGTGCTCACCTCTTGAAAATCCACCTCGATGAATCTACGTGGAGCTCTGCCCTCTGTCTGCCATCACAGCAAAACGTATGGCAGCAGGGAGGGAAGAGCAGAAGGAACAAGCAGCAGCCGCCACCGAAATATTCCCGGTTAGCAACAAGCAAGAATGCAAGGGAGATCAGATTAGCAGGTGACGGAAAAGTCTACTTCTGAGGCGCCTCAAAAGGTGACTGAAAAGATTCATACGTGCGCTCTCCCTTGCCGCTCCCTTGATTTCCAGAGAGCACCCACGTGGAGTCTGAAGAAGAGGGTGTCGAATCCTGCTCCCAGGGAGATGATCTGATGATCTGATGATCTGATGATCTGATGATCTGATGATCTGATGATCTGATGATCTGATGAGTCACATCCCGATCCCCTCGTTGACTCTCTTGACTCGTTTAACTCCCCTTCAGCATCGTTACATGAAAGACACAAAGAACGCACCCAGAGTCTGGAGAAGAGGGCGTCGAAGCCTGCTCCCAGAGAGATGATCTGAAGAGTCACGTTCCAATTCCCCCATTGACTCCCTTGACTCGTTTGACTCCCCTTGACTCTCTTCAACTCTCTTTACATTATTTTCTCCCATGACTTACCTTCCCATTCCATCGAGTGAGAGCACACACCTACTGAAGAAAAGCGTGTCGAAGCCTGCTCCCAGGGAGATGATCTGATGATCTGATGATCTGATGATCTGCAGAGACACGTTTGATCCCTTCGTTGACCCCCTTGACTTCCCAGGGAAACCCACGTGGAGACTAAAGAAGAGAGTGTCGAAGCCTGCTCCCAGGGAAATGATATGAAGAGTCGCATCCTGATTCCCCCGTTGACTCCCTTGAATTTCTGACTTCCCTTCAACATCGTGATATGAAAGACACAGAAAACACACCTGGAGTCTGAAGAAGAGTGTGTCAAATCCTGCTCCCAGGGAAATAATTTGCAGAGTCACATCCGATCCCCCTGTTGACTCCCTTGACTTTTCTGACTCCCCTTGTCTCTCCTGATCACTCCCGGGAGGAGCCCTGGGCCTGTCCTCGTCATTAGCTGATCCTTCAACGGAGAGGAACTGGTCGACGAGCTGCTGCAGAGCAGCCCAGCGGGCGAAGTAGCCTCGGTGGATGACGGGCGACCGCCGGGCTGGGCGGCGAACGAATAGCTTCACAAAGGGGTCCTGGAAATAACCTTTTGTCACACAGGAGCTGATGGAGGGTGGGGGGTACAGAGGAGAAAGAAAGGGGAGGGGGGGCTTCAAGGACGAACAAAGAGCTTCACAAAGGGGTCCTGGAAATAATCTTTTGTGACGCACGAACTGATGGGTGGTGCAGGGGTCTGGACGGGGAGGAGTAGTGAGGGATGGGGGAAGGGGGAGGGGGGGAGGACGAGGGGGGGTTGTGGGGGAGGGGAGTGGGGGACAGGGAAAAGGGAGGGAAGCGGGGGAGGTGTTTGTCGCCTGAACGTTTCGATTCAAGCCATGCCGTTGTAATCCCTAGGCTCATGACGCCATATCCCCAGGGCCTAGCGGTTGACCCACACGCGGTTCGCCTAGACAACACTCACGGTTTTCTGACGTAGTCGTTTCGTATCTTGCACGTACTTCTCGCATCATATCATATCACCCGCTAGACAACGCTCACTTCACTGACAGTCCCACGTCGTTTCGTATCCTGCCCGTACGCCTCATATCATATCATCCGCTAGACGATACTCACAGCTTACTGACAGTCGCGTCGTCGTTCGTCGCCTGGACGTATTTCGCGTGACTTCACCTCACGTACGCCTCGCATCAGCCGACCCGTTACAGACTATACTACTCACAGTTTACTGACGGTCGCGTCGTCGTTCGTTGCTTGAACGTATTTCTCGTTACCCGCCATAACCCCCGGCGCTGTGGAAACGAGTGCTTTCTGTCGAACGCGCCAGATCCCAACAATGACCGTGGTAAGACGGCAGAGATTTTCTAGACCGTGAGAACCACGTGATTTTTCCACAGCGGTAAGCCGCGGGATTCCCTGGTTGTTTGTGCGTGCGTTCCGCACGAAAGGGGAATCCTGGCGAGGCGTGGCTAGCTGGAAATTTTACTCTAGAATGACACGGCAGAGTGACTTTTGCTGGCTGGCAGAGTGACACGGCAATCCCAGAGTCGGATTCGCGGAAGAGGGAGATTCTCTAGCGGAGAAGCATACGCATTAATGAAAGAACTCGTTGAATAAAGTACACTTTACATCCATTCCGTCAGACGGAAGTGTTGTCATACATCAGGCTCCTAGACTGCCAATTAATGATGGATCCGTGACTTCAGACACATCTCACATGGGCTGCTGCTGCGTACTTATTATATCCAATATGTGATTTCTAACTTCTGAGGCTCCTCAGGCACTTGAATGCTCTTCCTCGCCTCGTTTCATTCAACATGCTCCTCGCTTCCCACGACAGGCATTTCAGACCCCCCTCCAGCCAAATTCTTCCATCTCAACCCCTCAAATGCTGCTCGCAGCCTGCCCCTCTTTCATCAAGCTTCCGCCATTCCCTCTGAAATTTCCTTCTTTTCCCCTTCAGCTGTTTCATCCTCGTAATTCTCTCCAACATAGCCACTCAGTTTAAGCCAACCCTCCTCAGACTCCTCTCTCCATCCCGCTTGCTGCCTGCTTCCCCCTCCCTCCTCAAGCTTATGCCACTCCCTCTGAAATTTCCTTCTTTTCCCCTTCAGCCATTTCATCCTCATAACCCTCTCATTCAACATAGCCACTCAGTTTCAGCCAATCCTCCTCAGGCTCAAGCTTCTGCCACTCCCTCAGAGATTTCCTTCTCCTTTTCAGCCGTTTCATCCTCATAACCCTCTCCTTCAACATAACCACTCAGTTTAAGCCAATCCTCCTCAGGCTCAAGCTTCTGCCACTCCGATCTCCTACTTTTCAGCCGTTTCATCCTCATAACCCTCTCCTTCAACATAATCACTCAGTTTAAGCCAATCCTTTTCAGGCTCAAGCTTCTGCCACTCCGATCTCCTACTTTTCAGCCGTTTCATCCTCATAACCCTCTCCTTCCACATAGCCACTCAGTTTCAGCCAATCCTCCTCAGGCTCCTCCATCCTGCTTGCCGCCTGCTTCCGCCGCAGCAAGGCATACGAGCCATACTTGACGAGCCTCTCCGACAGGCCCGGGATGAAGAAGGCTCGGTAGAGAGCCGGGGAGCGCTGGGCATCAACAAACGGGAGGGATGCCAGCACCTGGGAGAAAAAGGAGAGCATAGAGAGGGGGGCCAGGGAAGGGGGGAGGGAGCACGATTGTGAACGTAGGATTTATTCAGTGTACAGCAAGGGAGCATATAATTTTTGAGGCGCCTCAAAAGTCCCCTCAAAAGTCGTTTCAGTGTACAGCAAGGGAGGATATCATTGAGTTGACTGCAGGGCGTTGAAAAACAGGAGGGATGCCAGCACCTGGGGGAACAGGGATGGAGCAGAGGAAGACAAAAGAAACAAGAGAGAGGGAGGATGGGGAAGGGAAAACGGGAAGGGAGGGCGGGGAAGGGCAATGGTTGCTGTCTGTATGCCATCTGTACTTCTAACTCAAGAGCGTACGACATCTGCTCCTTCCAGGATGCTTCCTCTCTCCCCACTCTCACTATTCTTCCACGTCAAGCCTGCTGCACCTTGCACCCCCACCGGCCCCCCGTCCACGTCAAGTTTCCTTGACAGGCCACTTACCTACCACTTGTCCACTCCACCTCCCTTACGACACATGTAAGAACTCCCTTCACCCCCAGTGGCTCCCGCGTCCCCATAAACAACAAACCACTCACCTCCCATTTGTCCACCCCATGTTTTGACACATGAGTTGACTCAAAAGTCACCTCATATATGACACATGTCGTAACTACCTTCACACCTATGGTCATAAAATCTCCATGGATTCCTTCCCACGCCACTCACTCACCTCCCATTCTTCCTCGTCATGCCCTCGCAGGGCATCCGCTCCTTCCAGGATGCTTCCTCGCTCCCCTGTCATGCTGACGTGGCGCGAGTTGTCCAGCTCGACCAGATAGTCGCACAAAGACTCGTCCAGCTGGCGTGACGCAGTGTGCACGGGGGGGTTGGGGGGTTGGGGGGGGGGGGGGGTGGAAGGGGAAGAGGGAGGGGGGGCAAAGTGGGTGCAAACGAAGGGGGTGAGACATATAGATGGGCGGCGCGAGTTGTCCTACTCGACCAGATAGTTGCACCGAGACTCGTCCAGCTGGCGTTATGCAGTGTGCAGGAGGGGGGTGGAGGGGGGTGGAGGGGCAGCAGGTGGGGGAGGGATGGGAGGGGAACATTGCGTGCAAGAGAAGGAGATGAGAACACAGCAGGGAGGCAGGATTAACCAGCTCAACCAGATAGTCGCACAGAGACTCGTCCAGCTGGCGTGATGCAATGGCAGGGAGGGGCGAGACGGGGCGAGGTTTGACCAAAGGGAAGGGGACGAGCAGTCAGGGTTGGAGCTCCACGAGAGGCGTCAGAAAGGCAAACTCAGTATCGGCATTCCCCAACTCATGAATTGACGTTGAAATAAGCAGGAACAGATACCGTTCTCCCATGTCAAAGGGGTTGGGCAGCAAGCCCTTGAACATCCTAGCAGGCCCGACCCGACATGACTCTTCAGAAAGACGGACTGAATACCAGAAAAAAAACACAACTCACAAATTGCTCGGGCGTGGCTTGGTTCCTGTCGTTGAAATATCCGGGAGCGGATTCCGTGCCACCTTGTTCCGGGTCGAAGGGGATGTGCAGCAGGCCCTTCACCCACCCTGCTGGCAAGCCCACATCAAAGCAAGCAAGCCCGTTCCAAAAGAATCCTCAAAACCCCGACTCACGAATTGCTCGGGCGTGGCTTGGTTCCTGTCGTTGAAATAGCCGGGAGCAGACTCCGTCCCCCCTTGTTCCGGGTCAAAGGGGATCGGCAGCAGGCCCTTAAAGCCATCGTCGATGAACGCAGCTCGGTGGAGAGGCGAGGGGAGGAGGAAGGAGGTGGGGAAGCGATGCCATTCCATGCCATAGCACACCGTGACCACTGCGGGGAATGAGGGGAGGTGGAGGGAAAGGGGAGGAGGGGGTGTTTGGGGGAGGGGGGAAGAGAGAGGGGAGGAGGATCGTGGTTGGAAAGCGCAGGGTGCTTTGTGGGAAAGCTTGTGGGGAGTAGGGGAAAGAGACAGCCCTTTGAGATGTTCATTGGAGCAAAGTAGAAACGTAGCAAGGCAGTGGAGTGGGCGGAGGAGCAAAAACTTGGGACACTAGGAGCTTACTGTCTTCAATTGCTTCATCTACTGCTGGCAGGTGCTCGAGAACGTGCATGGGGGCGGAGTAGAAACAGAGCAGGGCAGTGGAGCAAGACGCTTGTGTGAGAGGCGGTTGTAAAGGCTTGAGAGTGGATGTTATAGGAACTTACTGCCCTCATTCGCTTCATCTACTGCTGGCAAGTGCTTGAGAATGTGCATGGGAGCAGGGTAAACGTGGAAAGGGAGAGACTGTGATGCCTGTGTTTCATAGGACTCTCTCTATGGACTTACAGTCTTCATTCGCTTCACCCACTGATGGCAGGTGCTCGAGAATGTGCATGGGGGCGGAGTAGAAGCGGAGCAGAGCAGAGGAGCGAGCATAGGAGAGAGCGATGATGAGGCCGAGCAGGGCTGGGCGCAACCACTTGGCTGCCTGTGATTGGATGGAGTGGGGGAGGGGAATGGAGGAGGGGATTGATGAGCCAGCAGCACGATGGGGTAGAAGCGTAGCAGGGCGGTGGAGCAGGCATAGGAGAGAGAGAGCGATGATGAGACCGAGCAGGGCTGGCCGAACCGAATTGGCTGCCTGTGAGTGGCAAGAGAGAGGGAAGGTGTGAGCGTGGGACAATGATGCAGCAGCACAGTGGAGTGGAAGCGGAGCAGGGCAGAGGAGAGAACGTAGGAAAGAGCAATGATGAGACAGAGAAAAGAGGGGCGCACCAACTTAGCTGCCTGTGAGTGGAAAGAACAAGAAAGTGAGGGAGGAAGAGAGGGAGTGAGGGGTGAAAGGGGAATGGAGGGCGGATTGATGATGTGGCAGCAAAATGGGTAGAAAGGGAGAAGGTGGGTGGAACGAGCATAGGAGAGAGCAATGATGAAAGTGAGCAAGGCCGGCAGCATGGAAAAAGAGTAGGGAAAGGGGAAGGGGGAGTCACTTTTTGAGGTGCCTCAAAAGTGGAACGAGCGTAGGAGAGAGCAATGACGACACGGCTGGCCGTGGGACAAGGCTGGCCGCACGGAAAGAGAGGGGAGAGGGGGAGGGAAGCGGGGGGTATGAAGCACATTTGGATAGAAGCGTAGCAGCGAGACGGAGTGAGCATAAGAAGAGAGAGCAAGAGAGAGATGACGAGAGTGAGTAGAGTAACGCAGCAGCCATTTGGCTGCCTGCGAGGGGAAAGAGTGGGGATGGTGACAGTCGTGGTGGTGGTTGAGCTGCTGCAGCTGCTGCTGCTAACGTACTGAGAAGAGAAGGGACGGTTGGCTGGGAGGCCCTTGGAGAGTCGTGGGAATGAGGTATGGAATGATGGTGATGGCGATGGCGGCAGCAACAGGGATGAGCGCATAGATTGGGTAGAGGAACCTGGGAGAGATGCGAGGGAGGAGAGGGGGAAATGATAGGGGAGTAGGGGTCGAGTTTTGAGTCGACTCAAAACTCGAATGTTAGGGGAGTAGGGGCACGTGGTGCAAGAACAAAGGAATGGGATAGGGGATGATGGTGATGGCAGCAGCAGCAGCTGGGGTGAGCACAAAGATGGGGAAGAGGGATGGGTGCGAGGGAGGGAGGGGAGGTTGGGGGTGTGGGGTGTTGGTGTTAGCCCTCAAATCTCACATTTTGTACTTGTACTTTTATATCCTAGTTTAGTGTAGTTTGCACTTTGTGTTTGGTTGGGTGTACACCCACATCCCAACCAAACCCAAATGTGATCTCCAAGCAATCTCCAACCCACCAATTGGAGATTGCCTTGGGATTACCCCCAATTCCCTAGGATTGCCCCCTGATTCCCTCCTCATCCATACCTTGCTCATTCCTGATGTACTTAAAGAGCTTTGAGCTCACTACTAATGTATCAGTTCTAAGCCTAAGTTCTGACATGGGGATGGTGAATGTGGCACATTATTTACTCTGGGTTGAGAGCGTGGATTGGGTAGAGGGTCCCAGGAGAGGCTTGGGGGAGGGAGGGGAGGTTGGGGATGTGGGGATGGTGAATGTGGCACATTATTTACTCTGGGTTGAGAGCGTAGATTGGGTAGAGGGTCCCAGGAGAGGCTTGGGGGAGGGAGGGGAGGTTGGGGGTGTGGGGATGGTGAATGTGGCACATTATTTACTCTGGGTTGAGAGCGTAGATTGGGTAGAGGGTCCCAGGAGAGGCTTGGGGGAGGGAGGGGAGGTTGGGGGTGTGGGGATGGTGAATGTGGCACATTATTTACTCTGGGTTGAGAGCGTAGATTGGGTAGGGGATCATGGGAGAGGCTTGGGGGAGGGAGGGACGGACGGAGGGACCGTAAATGGTGTGCAAGGATTCGGTGCAGGCAGATGAGGGGAGGTGGGTACGGGATGGGGTGATGATGGTAGGTGCCTGTCGACAATACATTAGATGGACAGACGGACAGAGTTAATAATGTGCAAAGATTCAGTGCAGACACATGAGGGTAGGTAGTTAGGGGATGGAGGTGATGGTAAGTGCCCGTTGACAATACATCAAATGGGCAAAGGGCGTGTTTGATATACTCACCGTTCCTCCTTGTGTGGCTGAAGGGACATGAATCCAACCCAGATGACCACAGGCAGCAGCAGCAGCGCAACCACCTCCTTCCACCCCACAAACCCCTTACCACCCCTCCCCACCCCTCCCCGTTCACCCCTCCCTTGCTGGCGAAACGGCGACGAGGCAAGGCTTGCGATCAGCAGCAGCACTGGGAGGAGGAGCGCGAGGGGGAGGGCGAGGGTGAAGTTGTTGAGGCCGTTGCGGAGGTAGAAGAGGGGGCCCTCCACTCCGTACAGCGTGCTGCCGGCGCCGTCCCCCCCTCCAAACACATTGTAGAGAACCAAGTTGAGAATGGAGGAGACCCATCGGCCGTAGTACAGACGGTCGAAACACAGGGAAAGGCCCTGGACAGGGACAGGGGGAGGGGAGGGGAGTGGAGGGAGGGAGGGAGGGAGGGACGAGCGTGAGGGGGGGGGCGAGCGAGAAGTTGTTGAGGCCGTTGCGGAGGTAGAAGAGGGGCCCCTCCACTCCGTAGAGAGTGCTGCCGGCGCCGTCCCCCCCTCCAAACACGTTGTAGTGGATTAGGTTGAAAATGGAGGAGGTCCATTGGCCGTAGTACAGGCGGTCGAAACACAGGGAGAGGGCCTGGGGGACAGGGGGAGGGAGTGGAGGTAGGGAGGGAGGGAGGGAGGGAGGGAGGGAGGGAGGGAGGGAGGGAGGGAGGAGGGAGGGAGGGAGGGAGGGAGGGAGGGAGGGAGGGAGGGAGGGAGGGAGGGAGGGAGGGAGGGAGGGAGGGAGGGAGGGAGGGAGGGAGGGAGGGAGGGAGGGAGGGAGGGAGGGAGGGAGGGAGATGAGCGCACGGGGAAGGGCGAGGCGTGGAGCTGTTGAGGCCGTTGCGGAGGTAGAAGAAGATGGGCCCCGTCCCATTTCGCCTGCTGCTCTCATAGGAGTACAGAACAGCCACGTGTAGTGAGGGTGTTTTTGAGACGTCTCAAAAACCCCGTCCCATTTCGCCTGCTGCTCTCATAGGAGTACAGAACAGCCACGTGTAGTGAGGGTGTTTTTGAGACGTCTCAAAAACCCCGTCCCATTTCGCCTGCTTCTCTCATAGGAGTACACAACAGCCACGTGTAGTGAGGGTGTTTTTGAGACGTCTCAAAAACCCCGTCCCATTTCACCTGCTGCTCTCATAGGAGTACAGAACAGGCCGATGGCCAGAATGAAACAGCGCAGTTTTAGTCGACTCAAAAGTTTTGGCGAGTTTTGAGTCGAACTCAAAACTCCGCCCTGATAGGAGTACAGTACTGGCTGATGGCCAGTGTGAAACAGCCCGGTAGGAGGAGCACTCACGGATGCGAGGAGAGTGGTGAGAGCACCGGAGGCAAAGACTTTGAGAAAGCCACTGGTAATTATCCCGTGCAGCACCAGAGGAAGGGCTGCCTGGCCCGCAAAGGGACACTCCTGTTGCCACTGCTGCTGCTGCTTGCTATTAACATACCCTATTTTGTCACTCACTCAGACAGCAGCAGGCACCCACTTACTGAGACGAGGAGAGTGGTGAGAGCAACGGATGCAACAACCTTGACGAATCCACCAGTAACCATCCCGTGCAGCACGAGAGGCAGGGCCGCCAGGCCCGCAAAGGGCCACAACAGCTGCACCCAGAAGCAATGATTTTCAAGTACCCACTCACTGAGACGAGGAGAGTGGTGAGAGCACCAGACACAACGACCTTCAGGAAGCCACCCGTAACCATCCCATGCAGCAACAGAGGCAGGGCTGCCAGACCCGCAAAGGGCCACCCCAGCAGGCCATTATGAGCATCCCACCCAGGCCAAAAAGCGTACTCACAGAGACGAGGAGAGTGGTAAGTGCACCAAATGCGACCACCTTGAAAGATCTTTCGGTAAGCATTCCATGCAGAACCAGAGGCACGGCTGCCAGGCCCGCAAAGGGCCATCCCAGCAGCACGCCTGCTGCTGCTCTTATTATAAGACATAAACCAGGCCAGGAAGAGTACTCACAGAGACAAGGAGATCGGTGAGTGCGCCAGATGCGACCATCTTTTAAAATCCCTCGGTGATCATCCCGTGCAGCAAGAGAGGCAGGGATGCCGGGCCTGCAAAGGGCCACCTCAGCAGCACACCTGCTGCAATTATAGGGCCACAACAGAACATCCCATCCCAGGCGAGAAGGCGGACTCACAGAGACAAGGAGAGTGGTGAGAGCATCGGAAACGACCACTTTCACAAAAGGCACCAGTGATCATCCCATGCAGCACCAGCAGCAGGGCTGCCAGGCCTGCAAAGGGCCACCCTAGCAGCACCCAGAAGCAATGATCTTCAAGCACCCACTTACTGAGACGAGGAGAGTGGTAAGAGCACCAGACGCGACCACCTTGAAGAATCCACCAGTGATCATCCCGTGCAGCACCAGAGGCAGGGCTGCCAGGCCTGCGAAAGGCCACCCCAGCAGCACGCCTGCTGCTGCTGCCGCTGTTGCTGCTGCGGGGCGGCCTTGGATGGCAAGAGACGTGGCCCACGTGATGGCATACATGCTGAAGGTGCTGGGGAGGAAGGCTGCATACGAGGGAGGGGATATGGGAAGAAGGATAAACTCCGTAATAAACCAAGAGAGGTGATGGCTGTGCCAGGAGGGCCTTGGATGGCAAGAGACGTGGCCCACGTGATGGCATAGATGCTAAAGGTGCTGGGGAGGAAGGCTGGGGAAGGAGGAGGAAGGAATAGGAGAAGGGGAGACAAGGCTATGTGTGTCATGTCAAGGGACGTGGCCCAGGTGATTGCATACATGCTGAAGGTGCTGGGGAGGAAGGCTGCATAAAGGCGAGGGGAGTGGGTGAGGGCAGGCACGTACGGGAAGAGACTCGAATGGCCCTTGCATTGATTGATACTAGGTCATACAGGCATGCAGGGTGAAAGCTAACCATACGTTGGTCTAGTGCATAACCCTCTTACCACTCGCACAACCACCCTACCCCTCTCCCTTTCCCCCCCCCCCCACCCCCCCCCCCCTTAAGCTAGGTCCAGAGCAGGGTCCAGGACCGAGAGGCAGTCCCCTAGGGACGGGGCCTCACCCACTGGCTCTAGCAGCGGGTTTTCTATAGCAGCTGCCATGCTGCACTTTTCTAGGTAGCAAATCGATTGCCCCCTTTGAAGAGCCACCGACCACCGCTGCCGGTATTGGTGTAAGAGCTTGGCAGCTTGGTAGGAGGTGGGCTCGGCGTTAAAGAGCCGTCTTGCAGCCGTTTCCGCGAGCAGTTTCAGGAAGGCCACTGTTTCTGGGCAAGGGCACCCGTACGTCTCGACCGCTAGTGGGAAGAACTTCACCCACTCTGGGCGGTCCGTGTAGAGTCCGTGCTTCTTGTCTGCCGCCTCGCGTGCAGCCCATCCCCGT